AGCAAACTCAAACTCCTGGGCTCAAGAGATCTTCCTGCCTCAGCCTCCTGAGTAGCTGGGACTACAGGCATGTGCCACCATGCCCGGCCAATTTTTTTATATATATTAGTTGGCCAATTAATTTATTTTTATTTATAGTAGAGACGGGGTCTCGCTGTTGCTCAGGCTGGTTTCGAACTCCTGACCTCGAGCAATCCACCTGCCTGGGGCTCCCAGAGTGCTAGGATTACAGGCGTGAGCCACCGCGCCTGGCCTTGTGCACCTTCTTTCACCTGTGAAACATGAACACTGCAAGGCTATTATGACTACATGCAAGTACACAAGATTACATATAAAGTCCCTAGAACAGTGGCTGGCAAATGCTTAAAAATAATTATCACAGAAATTTCACTTAAATTTTTTCCTATTTTGTTTACCTTTGTCCACAATTATTCTGATGAATAAAAGGTAAAAGGCCACATACTAATCTTAAACACATGGTTTCACACTCCCAGTGAACCTAAATTTCTTAAGGCAAAATTATTTTTTCTACTTTTTTTTTTTTTTTTTTTTGAGACAGAGTCTCACTTGTTGCCCAGGCTAGAGTGAGTGCCATGGCGTCAGCCTAGCTCACAGCAACCTCAAACTCCTGGGCTCAAGCAATCCTTCTGCCTCAGCCTCCCGAGTAGCTGGGACTACAGGCATGCGCCACCATGCCCAGCTAATTTTATATATATATATAGTTGGGCCAATTAATTTCTTTCTATTTATAGTAGAGACGGGGTCTTGCTCTTGCTCAGGCTGGTTTCGAACTCCTGACCTTCGCAATCCGCCTGCCTCAGCCTCCCAGAGTGCTAGGATTATAGGAGGCTGTAATCCTGTAATCCACCGCGCCCGGCTTATTTTTTCTACTTTAATACAACCTCACAATCTATAATTACTTGTTTACCAATTGTGCTAGGCAAGCATCACAGTAGGTCTACTGCTGTGGTACAAAAATTCTCATTGTTCTGATTTAGCTTTGGATTAGGCCCTGAGATTTTAACTATACCAGGTAATTCCAAGGATGAACCAAGGTTTGGGAACTATGGTTTTAGATTTCAAAAGTAATTTGCTTGGGTCTCTGGAAAACAGCACTGGCGAATAATGGGAAAGCCATAGCTTTTGGACAAATTCCTAATTCTAAAAGTACACATGGCCTCAGAATGGTTTCCTCATGTCTTGAGTCAAGGTTTCTCATTGGTAAAACAGAAAAATCTATGCTCACAAGGTTACAATGTGCAAAGCCTATTATCTAGCTGTTCATGAGGCAGAGTATGAAACTCATCACCCACTTAGATAATGTAAGAAAGACCTTCGAGGCATAATTCTAGTATCTAAATTCAACAAAAATTAAGCCTTAGTATAACAAATGTACTAACACATGTATAAATGCAAATACACATATGGGAAGCATATTTTACTGATGAAGAACATGATCAAAAGTTGAGACCAGGCCGGGCGCTGTGGCTCACGCCTGTAATCCTAGCTCTTGGGAGGCCAAGGCGGGCGGATTGCTCAAGGTCAGGAGTTCGAAACCAGCCTGAGCAAGAGCGAGACCCTGTCTCTACTATAAATAGAAAGAAATTAATTGGCCAACTGATATATATATAAAAAAAAAATTAGCCGGGCATGGTGGCGCATGCCTGTAGTCCCAGCTACCCGGGAGGCTGAGGCAGAAGGATCACTCGAGCCCAGGAGTTTGAGGTTGCTGTGAGCTAGGCTGACGCCATGGCACTCACTCTAGCCTGGGCAACAAGCGATAAAAAAAAAGAAGACTCTGTCTCAAAAAAAAAAAAAAAAAAAAAAAGTTGAGACCATTATTCCATACCATTTAGAACTTCATTTAGACTCCAACTCAAAATATAGGACACACAACCTTTAAAAGACCATCATCAGTCTAGCTTATAGCAACTACAACTAGAAAATAAGTTTGACTATTAAGACAAATAGCTAGTAATTGATAATTTAGTTTAGGGGTTGGATACAGGATTACTTGGGTCCAAATGTTAATTCTTTTTTCCTTAGCTGCTACAGCTAGATCTATTTTTCCCCTTCTCACTTTCTTTATTTATTAAAAATAACAGTATACTAGGCACTTAAGTGCCATACACTGGTTGTACCCACTCCCCTGACCATAGTGGTATCACCAGGATCAACTGAGGTGTGTTTTAAGCGCTTAGAAGTACCTAACAAGGTTGCAGAGGACATAAAGATCACGTTTTAGACAGCACCATCTGCAGATGAACTATGTCCAAATCTTGGCTTTGCTGCTTCTGAGTGACCTTGGTTATTACTCAACCCTTTTGTATCTGTTTTCTCAGCTATAAGATGATAACAGTACCCATTTCATAGGGTTAAAAGATTAAAACAGGCTGGGCATGGTGGCTCACAACTGTAATCCCAGCACTCTGGGAGGCTGAGGTGGGCAGATTGCTCGAGGTCAGGGGTCTGAAACCAGCCTGAACAAGAGTGAGACCCCGTCTCTACTATAAATATAAATTAATTGGCCAACTAATATAGATAAAAATATTAGGCAGGCATGGTGGCGCATGCCTGTAGGACTAGCTACACAGGAGGCTGAGGCAGTAGGATTGCTTGAGCCCAACAGTTTGAGGTTGCTGTGAGCTAGGCTGATGCCATGGCACTCTAGCCTGGGCAACAGAGAGTCTGTCTCAAAATAAAAAGATTAAAACAATCAATATATGTAAAGCATCTACAATGGTAGCCAGCACCTGGAAAATGCTCCTGAAGTGTTAGCTATTACCATCAGAGTGCCTACCCTGGAAAACAGTGTTAGCTATTATATCTTACCTTAGACTTTTTACCAAGTAAATTATGTAGTAGTGTTAAGTTTTAAAAGCTGGAAATGTTCATTCAGGAAGTAAATTTTCCTAAATACAAGCCTTAAGAAACAAGACACAGGCCAGGTGCAGTGGATCATGCCTGTAAACCTAATACTCTGGGAGGCCAAGGCAGAATCATCACTTGAAGTCATGTGTTCAAGACCAGCCTGAACAAGAGTGAGACCTCCCTCTCTACTAAAAACAGAAAAAGTTAGCTGAGCATGGTGGTGCATACCTGTAGTCCCAGCTACACAGGAGGCTGGGAATGGAGGATCATTTGAGCCCAGGAGTTTGAGGTTGCAGTGAGCTATGATGATGCCACTGCAGTTTAGCCTGGGCGACAGAGCAAAACTCTATCTCAAAAAAATAAAGACACATAGAAGTTTAAATTTGAAGTCATAATATTGCTAGTTTTCTTTAAATGTAAATACATGGCTTTGCTTCAGTATCAATCATTTAATAAAACTAAATTCAGTGTGAAAATGCATCTACCTAGAAAACTTTGTCACCCAGAATTTGCTGCCGATTACTTGAAAAGTATAAACTAGAGAACCCTAAAACCACTTTACGTCACTAAATAAAGATTAACCACTCATTTACATATTTTTATTTAGAAATGTTTGTATCACTACAGTGAAACTAGATTTTAGACACGGGATGTCAGCAGTTTAGTGATCATTAGTTTATTATAAAAGAGAGACATGGAAATTATTTACATGATGAAAGATTTCAGAACTTCAGTGGAATGAGCTTCATGTCAATGCCATTTCAATAGTGATTTATTTCAGTCCACATACTTTCCAAGAATGTCACCATCTCTAAATAAGAAATAATCCTGCAAACAAAGAAACCACAGTTAAGACAGCTAATCACAAATATTTACTTCTTTTTAGAATTATTAGTTTTACACACCTTGTCATCTAGAACTACTTTGGTGCCTCCATATTCTGGGAGAAGGACTTTGTCTCCAACTTTCACACTAACTGGTTGAATCTCTCCACCCTTAAGAAAATAAGGATATTTATTAACAAAGACATCTACTTCACCAAATATATAAGTCAACTTTCACATTATTACAATTAATAAAATGTGCTCACTCAAATCCAACATGTTTAAAATGCAGTTGGTGGCAAAGTGATACAGTTTATTTTAGAATTGCAGTTCTTCACTCAAACACATCACTGTAGAATTACACTTTGAAATAATGAACACACAGTGGTTTAAACGAAAACCTGATTTCAGTGTAAAGGTTCAAGGGAGTTATACTGGAAAAGCTAACTTTAACTAAAGCTAACTTTGTAATTGTTAAATATTAACAACCTATCAACTATCAACCTATTAACCTAACAACCTATCAACTATAGGAAGTAAACCAGATTTTAAACCACATACAAATGGCCATTTATTTTGCTTCTTCCAACATACAAAAATTTGAGATTTTTCTGTAATTAGAGCAAACACTTCTTTTGTGATTCAATTTTCTTTCCTACAAAGTACAGATTTGGTGAGTGGGACTGTGCCCATTCCCCAAAGCCTTCCTATACCTAACTCCAGGAAGAGTTCCTTAGAACTGTCTTTTTTGAGGCAAATGGAGCAATGGAGTTAACATATTTCATCCCAAAGAAATTTATTGTGTATTTTCATTGACACTTCTAGAGACCTGAGGTCTAACCAGTTTACTGGAGGACACCTGGAATAATAGTCCAACCTGTTTCTCTTAGGTATGCAAACTAAGGCCCCAAATGGTTATAAGATTAAGGTAATTTCAGTGTGTTAGAGGTTAAACCCACAGTCCAAGTTCCTCAATTCTTAAAAGCCCCCAAAGTTTATCTTAAAGTATAGTGTTTTGTCTTTATCACAAGTTTAGAATTTAAAGAAAACGCTAGTCATACTAGGCTACCAAATGTCCATTGAGGGCAATTTTAATACTCTGAAACCATCACATAAAATAAGCATATTGCATTGATCATGTAAAATAAGCAATTCTGTTTTACAATCATTTTCCTAAAAGGGAGATTACAGGTGAACTAAGGAATGCACCTGAAGATGACAGGCTACTTTCAGTAACTCAGGGTTTCTTATTATTCTCCTTCCACTTCACACAATAAAAATAGTTCTACTGTAGCCCCCATTCACCTTTCCTTTAGAGCCCGATCCAACAGCCACTACTGTTGCTTGCAACACTTTTCCTTGAGATTTTTCTGGAAGCATAATGCCTCCTTTGGTTACAGTTTCGGCTGCACTCCTTTCAACCAATACCCGGTCAAAAAGCGGAAGAAACTTTCTAAATGCTTGTCCTGCCTGCAGAAAAGAGAAATGTTAATAGCAAAAACAAAAACAATATGCGATTATATTCTTATGAGATAGTAAGTGGTATATTGCAAACACGTTTGGGCTTTGAAAACACCAAACCGTAGCTTATTCTTTCAGGAAACGTATTTGAACGTTCCACCTTATATTCAAGTTTTAATTGTCCCATTCCCTATGTCTGTTAGGGGTCGTTGTTGCTTCTCTGGTTAGCTACCAGACCAATTTTCTTTTTTCGATTATATTTCAAAATAACCCACGAACCAGCTTTAAGGGCAACCTTAGTTTATTACAAGGTCAAATATTTTCCTTCCTCGATTTTTTTCTAGAAATTTTCAGGAAACGTTGGGGTCACTCTCTCAGCCTGGGGCCATGCTTTCTCTCCAAGATATCACCCATTCAGGCCCTGCAGAAGCAGGAGGGACACCCCGCGTGCGTCCGGGTTCCCGCCCCCTGCCCCACACGCCTGCCGCGCACACGCGCGCAAAGAGCCCTCGGCGGAGGAAAGGGTCGGACGGACGGGCCTTGCCTCTCCAAGTGTACGGACGGGCGCTGGTCGCCGACTGACCCCCTAACCCATGCCTCCAGACCCATTAAAGGGAGGTCTGGGGTCCCTGTGCGCCTCAGACCGACCGGGGCCCGCATGCCTCGGGCCCACCCTGGACTCACACTCACCATGACTCCCGCCGCCGCAGCAAGTACTCTGCTCTCGTGCACCGCTGCAAGGAGACCCGCAAGTCCGGCCCTCGGGCCACGTGAAAAACCCAGGGGCCGCGCAGGCGCGCTCGCTGCCGCCCCCGCGCCTCGGCCCCGGCCCCACCCCGCGAGGGAGGGCGGCTACACCAGCGCGCGCCGCGATTCGCCCGAGAGTTCTGCGCAAGCCCCTGACGCGGGAGCCGGGAGGCGGGAGAAAAAAGGAGCTCCTTCTAGGCTTTTCTAGGCGGCTGGCAGAGGTGAAATTACTCTCTGTTCGTCCCCTCCCGGAAATGACGCGATTTGACCCTTGACTCGCGGAGAGCGCGGCGCAGTCCGGAAAGTTCTGGAAGTGTGCGCGGCCCGGGAACTAGCCTAAGGTGGCCAGAGCGGGCTGGGCCAGTGGGCTCAGCCCAGCGCGGGTGGGGAGGGCGGGGCCGGTGCGCGGCGCGTGCTGATTGCGGGGCCCGGGCCGACGGGAAGGGGGTGGGAGCCGCCCGCACACGCGGTGCGGCGGGGCGGGGGAGGAAGCGGAGGGAGGGGACAGGGGTTCATTGCCGTGTGCGCCCTGCACTCTGTCCCTCACTCGCCGCCGACGACCTGCCGCGCCGCGCGCACGCCCTGTCGCCGCCCCGCAGGTACGCGGCCGCCCCGCGCCGCCTCAGCCTGGCGCCTGCGACCCCGGGGCGAGCTTTCCTCTGCTGCGGTCGGGTCAGAGCGGGCCGGCGGGCGAGAGCCGGGGCTTTTGCACGGCGCTGCAGGCCCAGGCCCGCTGGCCCAGGCCTCGCGGGGCCATGCGGTTCCCATCACGTGCGGCGCGGATCGGGGGCCTGGCGCGGGAGTGAGGGCTTGCCCGCGAGATGGAATCTGGGGAGCCGTACCTCGTAGGCCTTTCGCTGCAACCCGCTCCTGGCTGACTTCAGGGCACCGGGGAGGGTGGTCGAATCCGCTAGGGAACCGCGTTTTTTGCCCCGCAGACAGCGGGATACTGCGCCTCTTTTCTTGACCTTGTTGGGGGCGCCCTGAAGGAAAGACACGTGGGGTCGCGCGGAGTGGGCCGGGCCGTCGCCCCCAGCATCGCGGCCTTGCTGGCTGCTCTGATACAGTAGCCACGGGTGGATACATGGAGACACTTTACTGTACGGCTTTTTGCACCGTCAGGAATACTTTTACTTCCCTGATCACTCGGATTTGTAACGTGCCTCCCTCCCGTTTGCTGGGTTTCTAAGGGGGCACATTTGGAATGGGTCTGCTCTGAAGGCCATTTTAGCGGTGAAAGATTAACTCGTTTTTGGCGGCAGGGGTAGGTGATCATGGGGAATGAGTTAGTGCGATTGTTGTTAGTGCCAGTAAGTCAGGCGCGAGGGCGGCCTTTTCCTTTAAGCTTGCGCTAGAAGCGCGTGTTCTGAAGCTGTGTCTGCGTTCGGTCGCCCGGGCGTAGTGATTGTTTGAGGTGAGCCAGGCTCAGGTCTAACATTGCTTTATTTGTTGCACAGGTGGACATATTATTTGTGCTGCAGCGCACCAGGGCTAGTGCTAGAACTGATCATCTACTTGTTTTCTCCCCTAGAAATGCTTCGATTACCCACAGTGCTTCGCCAGATAAGACCTGTGTCCAGGGCACTGGCTCCTCATCTCACTCGGGCTTATGCCAAAGATGTAAAATTTGGTGCAGATGCCCGAGCCTTAATGCTTCAAGGTGTAGACCTTTTAGCCGATGCTGTAGCTGTTACAATGGGGCCAAAGGTACCAGTATTTTTGTTTTATCGTAATTACAGTATTAAGGAATAATATTTTACTTATGCCCATAGACCCACTGAACTCTAGTTGGACAATACTTTTGTATCCATTTACAAGGGAACACAATTTACATTTAAGAGTTCCACATTGTTGGTTAACTTTCTTTGCGCTTAGACATAATGTCCTTAAAACTTAAAAACTGCTTCAGCCTGATTTTTGTAACGTTATTTTGTACAATGTATGATGTAATCAGTTAGTAATTCATAGCTCAAGGTGGACTCTTGAGCTGGAGGTAGAATTAATCTTGCTTGCCTGCTTAGCTTAAATTTTGGATCCTTTCCCCAGTAGTAGTGCCAGAGGGAAGAGTATAACTTACCTCTTATAATACGTCAAGTCTGTGCTGGTAGGTGCTATTTTTGTGTGTGTGCTTTGATTGTAGTAAAATATGCATAATGTAGAATTTACTACTTTGAAGTGTACAGTTCAGGAGCATTAAATATACAATTGCATTGTTGTTCTACTATCACCACCATCCATCTCCAGAACTTTTTTCATCTTGGAAAATTTTAGCTCTGTACCCATTAAACAATAGTTTCCCATCCCCTCCCCTGCCCCATGCTACTTTTATTGTAAGTCTCATTTAGTAATGAGGGATAATATTTTGAGGAAGTTTTTGAAGGTGTTGCATAGTCCAGTGAGGGTTCACTTAAAATTGAAGACAGTTTGCCAAAGTGATCCAAACTGCATAAAATATGATATTTACACACCTCAAGAATAGAAAGTAGCAGCTTTGGTTCAAATCCAAAAGCTGCCAGTACTATTTATGCCATGTTTAAGGTTTTATAATATGTTGAGTGAACCTGGAAAAGCACAACCACTTGCCTTGCTAGTTAGTATTTTAGTAAGTGAATTTTAAAGCAAGTCATCTTACTTTTTAAAGATGACAGGCACTAACCAGAATTTAAGTAATCTGAAGAATGTTCTGAAATTTCATGGTTTGTCTTATGTTCTTGTCCATTTTATATGAGACGACAAATTTTAGTCCCTGGGATTTTCACCTCCCATGTTAACTCATTCAAAATTAAAGTCTTTACAGAGATGTAGAGAGGTTGTTTTGTCTGTAGACTAAGAATGTTGATGAACTTGCCCTTGAGATTCATGCTGCAAGAGTGATAAAAATGATAACAATTTGTTGATGCTTTTAAGTAGTTACCATATTGTGAAGATTTTTAAAAATGTAAATAATCTTTAGGCTGTGTGATCCTGTCATTTTTCTTCCTCTGCAATTATAGGGAAGAACAGTGATTATTGAACAGAGTTGGGGAAGTCCCAAAGTAACAAAAGATGGTGTGACTGTTGCAAAGTCAATTGACTTGAAGGATAAATATAAAAATATTGGAGCTAAACTTGTTCAAGATGTTGCCAATAACACAAATGAAGAGGCTGGGGATGGTACCACCACTGCTACTGTACTGGCACGGTCTATTGCCAAGGAAGGCTTTGAGAAGATTAGCAAAGGTGCTAATCCAGTGGAAATCAGGAGAGGTAGGAATGTGCCTTTGTTGTCATTACAGTGTACTATAATCTTCAATGTTCCATAACAAGGCATTGACTCCTTGCACCTAAGGAAAGTGTCTATTATTTTACGAAGTTGTTTTTTCTCATTCCTCCTAAAAATATCTTAAACTGGGTTTTTCCTTCAGCAAATAGTGATTGAATGCCTAACTGGGGTGGGTACTGCCTGTTAAAAGGAGAAGAATATGACTGAAACATTCCTGGCTCAAGAAGCCAGCAATTTATTAGAAGAAATAGATAAGACTTGATTTTCTTATCAGTAGAATTGCTATATATCTATAGGGCAGGATATTGTCCAAACTAGGATACTTGAGAGTAATGAGAGGGTACTATTAATAATTTTGGTGTCCCCGGCGTACTGATATATCATCACTCCATCTATTTCAGTGTTTAAGTTAATAACTATATAGTAAATTAAGGGAATTTCAGATAATTAACACCTGCAAGGGCCTAGGCACATGAAATTCCTATCACTAAGAATTATACATAGGCCAGGCGCAGTGGCTCACTCCTGTAATCCTAGTACTCAGGGAGGCCGAGGTGGGCAGATCGTTTGAGCTCAGGAGTTCCAGACCAGCCTGAGCAAGAATGAGCCCTGTCTCTACTAAGAAAAAAAGAAAGAAAAATTAGCTGGACAACTAGAAATATATGGAAAAAAAATTAGCTGGGCATGGTGGTGCATGCCTGTAGTCCCAGCTACTCAGGAGGCTGAGGCAGAAGGATCACTTGAGCCCAGGAGTTTGAGGTTGCTGTGAGCCGGGCTAATGCCATGACACTCTAGCCTGGGCCACAGAGTGAGACTATAAAAAAAAAAAAAAAATTAAGTGTTGAAAATAAGGAAGTGTTACCCATTTTAGTCCTTTTTTGCATCATTTAATGGAGTGTTGGGTGACCCTTTTGGAAATAGGCAACATGATTAAGATTAAGAATAACTTCTATAGGATGAGTTCAATGGTGGGATCCTTAAAACTATACACATCTGCCTTTTCTTGGTCTGATTTTCAAAATAATTTTGGTGTTGCAGGACTTTATTTACTGTGTAAATTTAAAGTTAATTGTTTCACTGTATGCCATCCAATTCCATGTGATTAGGAACGGCACACTGGCACAAAAACTGTGTATAGATTTACTATTAAGGCATTAAAATATTTATAATAAATACCAATTTCTGCTCAACATGAAAGCTATCAGAGCATAAGCATTATAATAACATATATTCTTGAACTAGGTGTGATGTTAGCTGTTGATGCCGTAATTGCTGAACTAAAGAAGCAGTCTAAACCTGTGACAACCCCTGAAGAAATTGCTCAGGTAAGGACTTCTCATAATATTGTTGTATTTTAAAAATAACTAACATGATCCCCCCCCATAATCATACCAATATCAGAAAAATAATACTACCCAATCACCAACATTAGAAACTTTTTTTTTTTTTTTTTGTCAATCTGTAGTGTCACCACATTTACTAAGGGAAAATACAGTGGGGTCAGCGTTCTTTTACTGTTTTGTTTAAAAGCTATTCTTTAAAATAATGTAGCCAATAATAAATTGAAGAAGAATTGAATAAAGAACCATTACTTCATTAGAACTTTTATACGATTAATTCCTTCCTCCCCTGGATGGAAGTATCAGTTTGAAAGTTACTAGGAGAAAGGAAGGGAATTGGTTGAGGGCAATAGCTTTACCTTTTAATTTTAAAGAGTAACTTGATTTTTTTTAGGTTGCTACGATTTCTGCAAATGGAGACAAAGAAATTGGCAACATCATTTCTGAT